GAGCTAGCATTTTCCCCACATTTAGCTTTTAGTCAGTATTTTTTAGTTTTTTTTCTCTAGCTTTCAGGTAGCGTTTGCTTCTTTTAGCTCCTGCAGCTCAGTTTCAGCTTCATTCCTTCAGCGTTTGTGTATTTTCTGTCGTTTAATTAGATTTTTGCAGCTCATCTGACGACTTCGTTGCTTCTTGTCTCACGAAACGAATGACATGAAAATGCATCATCAGGAGTGAGATTATAATTTCAATGCGACGTTTGGATTTAGTCTTACCTGAACAGGTAGTTAACACACTGCTGCTCAATGTCACTGGAATGAAATCACAAAATGTTTCAGCATCTGAGGCACGGCAATCTGTAATTTGCTACCCTAAAACAAAAACAGCTGAATAAGAGACATTTTCTGTATAAAAGCCGTCGGACCAACCTTAAACTGTTGGACTTGTGAACCTGAAACACCCTGTAGGCACCTGAAAGATAATGGGACACCTTAACGAGACCGGACTCTGTTAACGGCAAGTATCTACGTTCACCCCTAAACTCACCAACGCAAAGAAGGTGACAGAGCGCCCACAGGTAACCACTGTGGTCAAACTGTAAAGTCAGAAAACACAGGAAGTAACGACCTGCGGCACGAGTATCCACTTGTAGGAGAAGGGAGTTACCTGAGGGTCATACAGGGGGAGGTTGACGGCCGCCAGCAGCATCAGACAGATGCTAAAGAAAGAAGCACATTAAAAATTCAGCTGTGAAATTCGTAAGTGGCAGCATTTTAAAGTTTATACTAGAGCCCGACTGATGTGGCAATTTTAACTATCGGCGATACCGATATTGGTAGGACAAGGCTAATGCCGATAATCAATATATCGGCTGAAAACGACTACACGGTATTGCTTTCTGCTTCGGCTGTGCTGAAAGTGAAACTTAAAGTGAACGGCCATGCCTTGAATGTAGTCCGCATGCGCCCCCTGCTGGATACATTGTACAATTGCACCTTTTGCAAGTAAAGACATGACTTGTTCCCAGCATTTTAGGGATACAAATTATAAATGTTTTATACCGAGGCATAATGGGCCAATTATCACCGACAGCGAGACGTCCCCCAACGCCTATATCGACCTAAAATATCAGTCGCACTCTAGTTTACACACTCGGAACTTGATGAAATACGTAATCGCTTTACAGCGCGAAACGGACTAATCTGATCCGAGTTTTAATTTCTAATTCATTGGAAGCGACATTTTACCATCTACTAAAAAACGAGCCACAACTTTACTTAAAATTAAACTGAATCAACTGATTGTGGTTTGTTTGTTTTTTGTGTCTTGATGCTTCTACTACTTTTCAGTGAATGCCTCTGCCATCGAGATAAGGCGAGGAGCTCGGAGTAGAGCTGCTGCTCCTCTGCGTCAAAAGGAGTCAGCTGAGGTGGTTCATCCGATGGATGGACGCTTTTTTTGTTCCAGGCACGTCCTGCTCAGAAGACACCCCGGGGCAGAACCAGAACTCTGGCGGGATTATAAATCCTCTCTAGTCTGGGAATAACTTGGAAATACCCAGGAGGACCTGAAGTGTGTTGTAGGGAAGAGGGAGGTCTGGGTTTCCCTCACGGACCTGTTGCTTCTGCAACGTGACTACAGAGAAGAAGACGGAGAATTTAAAAATGGAAGTTTGATCGTTTTTGGTCAAAGTTTCAGGAAACCCCAAAACTCTAAGAAACAAAGAGAAATCACATTTCCTGCAAAAATGAAGTGCGACTGCTTTTTGCTGAAGAACTTGCTGGAAAAACAGCTGAAATGTGCCAAAAACATGCTGAAATGAAAGACCAAGCCGAAATTAGCAGAAGAAAGCAGAAAGAACATGTTTGATTACGTTTTTTAAAAAAAGCTGAAATTAGCACAAAAAAAAAAATTTGTAAAAAAACCGAAAAAAGTTTAAAAAAACAAAAAAAAGGGGAAGGGGGAAAAATGAGCTAAAAAAAAAAAAAAAAAAAAGTGGAATTAGCTGAAAAAGCTAAATTTACCACATCTAAAAAGTAGCTGAAATAGCACAAAAAAGAAGCTTAAACTAGCAGAAAAAAGCTAAGAGAAGCCGAAATTAGCAGGAAAAAAGTTAAATTAGGCTGAAAGTAGCAGAAATGAGCACAAAAATGTAGAAATTAGCAAAAAAAATAACTGGAGAGAGCACATTTCAGCTGAATTAGGCTGAAAAAAGTTAAAATTGGTGCAAAAAATGTGGAATTAGCTGAAAAAGCACATTAGCATCAAAACGGGTAAATAATAGCTGAAAAAGCTTAAGCTTGTAGAAATAGCTGAAATGAGCAGAAATAAGTTTGAAGAAGCACAAAAATGTTGTAATTAGCAGAACGAATCTCAAAGGAGCACAAAGCAGCTGGAATTTGCTGAAAGTACCTGAAAATTTTTAAATTTGCACAAAGAAGCTGAAGCAGAACAAAATGTGAACGAAGCAGTAAAAGGTTGTAAACATCTAAATATCTGAAGGATGTAAAATGAACTAAATTAATTTTCAATGAGGGGAAAAAAAGTGGCAGAAAAGGCTAAATATTTCAAAAAGCTAAAGTTGCACCAAAACCAAAAGTCATGGCAGGATTGTCCTGAAAGAGTTTTGATGAAATGGATTGAAAACTGCGGGATGAGAAATATATTGAAAAGTGGATCCACTCATGCAATAAAATTCAACAGCTAAAATCTTGAGGCTTGAGTGTCGGTTGCTTTTCTTTTGACCGCGAGTAAAAAAAAAAAACAATTCTTGTTCTAACGTTCGTGTGCAGCCGTGAAGAAACGAACCTGGTGAATCTGAGCCACTGTGTCGTCATCTGGTAGAAAACAGGACAGAGCACGTGTTACACTCAAGTCAGAACTTCGGCTAAGACTTCGTCTGAATCCACTCACGTCTCTGCGGAGGACCTTCAGGATCACGTAGGCGACGACGTGACAGGAATTTTGAAGAGTAAAGAAAACGGGAATGTCCTGCAGAGGGAGGACATGGAAACACTGTGGACGTGCACGACCGTCTTTGCAGCCGACGGCTTTTATTTTAATGTTTTATTATTAAATGTTCGTCACTCACTATGCGAGATAAGGCCCTTGAACCTGCGTATATGTTTCCCACAAACAAGAAGGAGCCGGGAAGCCACGAAACAGCAGCAGGTCTGAAAAAAATAAAAATTAAAACTATTAGCACAGTCAGTGTTGGGGATGACCCTCGGCTACTACCACCTTAAATTTTAGCTCAATTTTTTTGCGTTATAGTCATTTGTTGGCCGTCTTAAATACGATCGAGTAAAAGTTATCTAGCAGCTGAATATCAAATACAGCAAATAAATAAAGTACCTGCTGATGTGGCTCATTTCCACCCATCCCAGTTTTTTAGACAGCAGAAGCAGAACAGCTCCAATAAGTGTCTGCCATCTTAAAATTATTAAATTAAGAGTTGTGTTAGTCAACAAGTTTTGTATCCGTCAATATAAATTAAATGTGCTTTCACAGACTCACCCTTGAAATAAAGTTGGGTAGGTGAAGTTCAGCACTGACAGGACAAACTACAACAAATCAACCAAACTCCATTCAAAAAACGTCTAATTTAGTGCTCATGTACCTTTAAGCGGTAGGTACATCACTAATGACATTATAGTTACTTTCCAATCGATGTAAATAAGTGTCACATATTTTCTTACAGTTTTTAGATTGTGCTAAACTAGCAGCTAAAGTATTGTAACTTCAGCTAAGCTAATTAGAACTAGTTTCCTCACCTTATTTGTGAAATATGATACAACAAAAACGAAGGTAAACGCGAGGCCAGTGACGTGGCTTCTCCATTGCATGTTGATCTGCAGATAAACTGCAGCTGGTACATGATTCTTACCAAAAACAATTCTACAGTATTTAATATACTTTAGTGCTTTTGTTGATGTCTCAAAAATAATCCGAAACTTCCCTCACTGATCTCGGACACGTCAAGACATAAAGATCGTCTATTCTTTGACAGATGACTCACTACTTGCGCGTTATACGCTGTTCGCGCCGAAGACGCTTAACTTTTACTTATAAATATATTTAATAATAAGTTGTTAATATTCTGGTAATTCAAAGTGAATGAAGTTGAAGTTACAACTTTTTGATTTAGCTCTAAAGATGTCGCTTGAGGGTAACAGTTGCCATGTTATCCCTAAGATTAAGTCAGAGTGGTGCTCTCTTCATTACGGAGGTGAAATTTCTTGGAGCGGGTCACGTGACGCGAGGCGAGCTTCCGTGTTTACAGAGAGGCTAGCTAGGCTCGGGCTTGTGTTGCGGCGCGGCCACCCGGACGGTGTCGAGTTTCACAGGAGGATGCTGCGCGGCCATGGCGTTTATTAGGACGCAGGAGCGAACGAAAGAGAGGTTTGTCGTGGCTCCTTTTTGTCCCGGGTCTGTCGGAACCGTCGAGGCTGCGTCACTAATTAGAGCCTCGCTGTCAGGTGCTCTTTACTGTTTCACTAAGAGCTCACTGCTGCACATGCAAGGTCAGGCTGGCGCGGTTCATCTCGCATGAAATACTCCAAAATTACCTCGTTAAAATAAGCATGAATGTCAAACAATGCTCTCCAGTTGATTTGTTTACCTGTCACATAAACCATAAATGTGACGCATGATGCTCTGCAACAATGCAATGAGCTTTTTTTAACCTTCATGTCCGCAGAGTAGGGTTTGCCCTGCAGGGATGAGGGTGAGTTTAAAAAGAACTAAATGGAAAAGCTGTGCTGTAAAAACCAACATGATCCAGCAGCTGAGTAGTGGTTTCTTGTTTGACTGTGGTTGTGGAGGAATTTTGTCCCACTCTTCTTTCCGTCGTCTACTCGGTGATGTTTCTGCGCAGAAGGTCCCATCACCTTGAGGTTCGGTAGATCAGCTGCTGTGGTTCGGATCATGGTCCTGTTGGACCCAGTCTGGTCCGAGCTTCAGCTGTGGGACGCATTTAGATCCAGAACCCATTGGTCTACAAAGAAGTTCCTGGTCCACTCAAGGAGCCCAAACCATCAGCCCTCCACCACCGTGCACACAGCTGGTTTAATGTGTTTGCAGCAGTGCATTCTGGGTAATCTCCACTTTGGTCGTGTTGACAATCCAAACGTGTTGCTGCTTTCTTACTATCCTGCCATGACCTTTGACCTTTAATCTGCCATCTGAGGCCTGTGAAGCGTGAGATGGAGCTCATTCCTCTGAGCATCGCATGGTCTGACCTTCAGGGTGAATTTTCTGGGGCGTCCACTGCTGGGAAGACTGAATGTTTTCCACTTGTGCATGATGGTTCTCTCTGGACTCCAAACGACCTTTGACCCTTCTCAGATTGATGCGCAGGAACAGTTGCTTCTCTAAGGTCATTGCTGATGTTGTTCCGCCTCGGCATCGTGGCTCAGCACACATTAGAGTCCTCCCGTCTGTATTTTCTTACCAAGATGCTTTCAGTTCATCAGGCTGACGCTCTAGTGGCCACGTTCCAGCTGGGTTTTGGTTTCTTATGCGTCTGTTTATTTTTTTATTTTTTAGGTTTTCTCTGCTGTTGCTGGATTTGGAGGAGTATTACTTTGAGCAGCACACTGCGTACAACGTGACCGGCAGTCCAAACCACAGGTACGTTTACACACGTCGCACGAGATTTTGTTTTGCTGCTTCTTTCCCGGCGCTAACGAGCTTTTTCTCTTGCAGAAAAATCCGAGGCTCCTTCAAGGTTTGCTCCAGATCCGTCATCTTTGATCCACAGGATCTTGCAGAACCAATTATAAAAGTAATTGCGTCCTTTTATTCATTTATTTATTATTTACACCCAACTAGTCGGTTAGAAACTTGAAGTCAGAGTTACAGCAGTGGCTCATCATTAAAACCGTCTCGGAGTGAGATTTTTAAAAGGAACAACAGTTTAGGCAAAATGTTTCAAAGCTCATGAACAGAAGTAAATCCTGAAATGAATGTTGTTTGAAGTTACAGCCGCGCTGCCTTTGTGTATTCACAGGTTCCTCTGCGGGACTGCAAGAAGATCGAGTTTGTGGCGAAAGAGACCAATCCCTTTAACGAGTCAGTGTGTTTTCATCTCCGGACTGGAAACGTGTGAATTTTCAGTCAAACTGGTTTCGTTACTTGAAGAATCTCTTGCAAGAAATCCTAAAAGCCAGTTTTAAAATGTGCACCGTTCGATTGTTGCGTGAACGTTAGCGAAGCGTTCACGCCGTGATCCACTTTTCTTCTGTACGTTTTCGGCTGTGACTTTTGGTATTGGTGCAACTTTAGCTTTTTGACACTTTTAGCCTTTTCTGACATTTTTTCCTCATAGAAAATGAACGGAGCTCATTTTACATCCTTCAGCTCTTTAGATGTGTTCACAACCTTTTACGGCTCCTTTCACATTTTGTTCTGCTTCAGCTTCTTTCAGCTTCCATGTGCAAATTTTTAAAATTTTCAGCTCATTTCAGCTGTTTTTCAGCTGTTTTGTGATCCTTTTAGACCCTTTCTGCTAACTACAACATTTTTGTGCTTCTAACTTCTTTCTGCTTATTTCTGCAAGTTTCAGCTTTTTCTGCTATTTCGGCTTCTATTTAGCTTGTTTTTCAGCTAGTTTTAGCTTTTTTTTGACTAATTCCACATTTTTTGCACACGTTTCAACTTTTTTCAGCCTAATTCAGCAAAAATGTGCTCTCTCCAATTCCTGGTAATTTCAGCTTCTGCTTTTTTAGCTACTTTTCAGCTGTTTTTTTTTTTGTTTGTTTGTTCGTTTGTTGCTAATTTTAGTTCAGATAATTTCCTTTGTGCTCATTTCTGCTTCTTTCAGCAATAACGGGCAAACGTGTTATTTCTGCTTTCTTCTGCTAATTTAAACTTATTCTACCTTTTCAGCTAGCTTTTTAGCATTTTTAGCTAATTTAAGCTGTTTTCAGATAAATTCAAGTTTTTCACGTTAATTTATGCTACTTACAACCTAATTAACTTCTTTATGCTAATTTCAGTTTGTTTTGCTCCTTTCAGCTTTTTTCTGCTAGTTTCAGCACTTCTACTCTTTCAGCTACTCTTTAGCTCTTTTGATGCCAATTTTAGCTTTTCCAGCTAATTCCACTTTTTTTTTTTTTGCTCATTTCAGTTCTTTCTGCTTCCTAATGGTAGTTTAAGCTTCTTTCTGCCTTTTCAGCAAATTTTCAGCCTTTTTTTTAAGCCAAATTCCTAATTTTTGTGCTAATTTCTGCGTATTTAAACCTAATTCAGTAAATAAGTGTTCTTTCTGTTTTAGGCTTGATCTTCAATTTCAGCTAAATTTCAGCATGTTTTTTTTTTGCTACCGGTAATTTCAGCTGTTTTTCAGCAAGTTCTTCTGCATTTTCGCAGGAAATGCAATTTCTCTAGTTAAAGCTATTGTCATTTTTTATGTTAAACTCTAATTTCTATTCTGATTTTCAGAAGAAACTTCCTGTTATAAAAATCATTTTTCATGTTTTTCCCCGTCAGGCCTAAACCACCTGTGATATCAGTTTCCTGTGAGCAGGTGAGAACTCACGTCTTTCTTTGCTCAGGCGTAATCAACGCCGAGTAGCTGCAGTGATTCATTTGACTGCTTCTCAAAAGAAATGAACGAAATTCACTTATTTCAGGTTCTCTTCATCAAAGAGAGGAATGTCATCGCTCCGTATCGAAATGAAAGGGTGAGTGGACTGCTGCTCTCAGCTGATCGTTAACGAGATGGTGAAAAATAATGACACAACGGGGTTTTAGTCCCGTTTAAAGTGAAGTTTATCATGAGCGTGTTAGCGTTGGGCTTTTAATGGTTTCTTCAAACTGGAAAGATCAGGCAGCAAACAACAGTAGGGATCTTTAAAAACTGGTTTGAATTTATTGTTAATTATACAAACGGGCTCAACTATATCACAACATTCAGCCAAAAGTGAAAATAACTGTTGCTGAAGAATCTAAAAGGTCTCGTAGAAGCTGTGGTTTATTAACCGCATGTTAGCGATGGAAGAGGGCCACCTGCATCATGAAGGACCCCACTCACCCAGCACACACACTT